GCTGCTGTGACACTGGGTCTCTGCACATTGAGAACAGGCTGGTTGAGCCACTGGATCCAGTTTTACGCACCGACGAGTCTCCACTCTGTGTTTCTGGCTCTGCGTGGACATTCTGCCTGTTTGCTGCTGCTGCTCACAGCTGCTGCCTGTTTACAGTAGTTCCCCACAGGGCGGGACACGTCGACCTTGAGCCACGCTGACAGTGGATCCAGTCACTGACCGATGAATGAAAGACCTCATATAAATATATGAGACTTCTCGCAATCACATTTCAAACACACGTGAGAGGACGAGAGCAGCTGGACGCGCGAATATAACTAGAGATAAACTTTTAATGAAATAAAACGAGACATGAAAGCGACTGTTTCCATGACGTCAATGTGTCAGAAACATTTTAACCTTCTAATCTTTGATCTCGTGTTAAATCTCTATTAGGAGGAAGTGAGGTGCAGCGATTCAATGTGAAAGTAACGTCAGACTGTGACACTGGAGCTCCGGCGTTTACACGTGTGCAGTTCGATACCCTCAGTTTTTTTTTTTCCAAGCACACACAATCAGCAAGTGTAGTTTTTGAAAATCGCGTCTTACTTTTGGGTTTTTTTACGTTAGTCCTCCGGGAATCACGTGCTGGTTAAACGTCCTGGATACGTGGAGGGAGGACTCCTCATGGTCATCGAGTCAGGAGCGGAGGTTTGGTTCAAAGTGAAGAAAAAGAAAAGTTTCCGCAGAGATCAGGAGGAAGAGGAGCAGAGAGGAGCACAGAGGAGCAGATTCACTCCGGAGCAGGAAGAGAGGAGGTGTCACCTTTCTGACGTCATCAGTCATACCTGTTTGGAGCCGCGCGAACAGAGGGAGGAGGAGGAAGAGGAGGAGGGGGTGGAGAGGGAGGGGGGAGCACACACACACACACACACACACACACACAAACAAACATCACTAGCTGAGAGGAGGAGGTCTGCAATCAGAGAGAGAGAGGGGGAGAGAGCGTGAAGAGCACACACACACAGAGAGACTCTCTCTCTCTCTTCCTCTCTCTCTCTCTCTCTCTCTCTCTCTCTCTTCCTCTCTCTCTCCCTCCCTCTCCCTCTCCCTCTCTCGGGGAGAAATCAATGGGTTTGATTGACTGATCACTCCCCTGTATATGCAGCTTTGATCTAATCATGTGTGAAGGGCAGAAGAGTCATACATGTAAATAACTAAAGTTTCCAAAACACAATGTAGAACAACAGTGTAGCTTGTTATTATCAGTGTTAACACCGTGCACATATAATAAGAATATGCAAATAAGAATAGCTGTGATGCAGTAATAACAGGGATAGTCACAAAACAGACATTGGTTAAAGTAATAAATAAGTAAACATTGAATAAAATAGAAATATAATCGAAATTATATATACAATTGAAACAGAATACATTTACAGTGGAATTCATTGCACACTAGCACAGATAGTGAGTATTACCTGGATGATAAATATAGTAAAAATAATAACAAAGACAGAAAGTCTCCATTCTTTCCTTTCAACACTTTTTAATTGAAGTGAATCAGTGATTCCACCTTTAAATACGGAAGAGTAGCTGTTATGATGGCGCCTCCCTGTGGAGAGATGGCCGCACAGCAGCAGCAGCTCTGTGATGTCAGACTCTTCAGTGAGTCCATCAGTCTCCTCACTTCTTGTTCCTCTGGAGGTTTGTTATATAGGTTTGTAATATCAAAACTTATCAGTTTGCTTGTTGTTTGTCCCTGAAAGTGTTTCTGTCTTGTTAGTTGATCTCTGGACTCTTTATTGTATCATTCAGACTTTTTACTTCTCACTACTTTATATTGTAATGCCGTGTGTTTACAGATAATACTTTGTGGTTGAAGTTGATTTAACGTTAAAGAAAAGTTTCAACAGCATCTTTACATGTTGAAAAAGAGTCAATGAATCACTAAGGTTCAAGTTTTTACACTGAAGTTATAAATGTTGTAGGACTAGGCCGACTCAACGCTTTTACACAAAGCTTTATGTCACTGTGATGCATTCAACTTCTCTGGATTAAGACAATAAAGATTAATTTTTATGAAATCAGATAATTTGAGATCTTTTAAAGACTTGATGAATCAACTTCATATTGGCTTACGGACATCTAATGCGCATGCGCCCACGGAGGAGAGACAACCATCTTGTCTGCAGCCAGGTCCGCTTGCTCTGCTCTGACACCTTGTGGTCAAACACTGTTACTGTTTTTTGTCAGGTCAATCGTGCTGAAGGTCTGTGCACACGTTACATGGCAGCAGGTCTGCAGACGGACTCACACATTCTGCTCTTCAACACTAAACAACCACATTCTAATCAAAGTGTGACAAGTTTGAGCTCAGGCTTTACTTCATGGACCTTTCCTCAATTTAACAAACTCAGAAATGTTGACAGATCAGACAAGTACATTTTCATCAGAGTCTAATAAATCATGGATGACTACAAATGAACAACAGACTTCAGATCATGTATCATCGTTAATAAACTCATGAAAAAGAGACTCTGGTTTTTAAGCTAAGTTAGATAGCTCCAGTTAGGTTTTTAGATTATAACCAGGCCCTTTACTGCGAAGCCGGACTTGCTCTTATTGGAGCAACTTCAGGGTCAATCACAGACATGGACCAGTGACCTGCCAGCAGAGCCTCATACTTCACACCGAGGACCAAACTGTTGCATTCAACAATAAGGACTAAAGGAAGAACAGCTGGTGAAACATCTCTGTCTGAATGTGTGAGTTACATTTGGTCAAAATATATAAAGGCCTATTGAGCCCCCTGGTGGTAATCTAAGGCTATGACTTACAACTGTCAGTAATTAATGAATGTTGAAAACCAGTGATAAAGAAAAGGAGGGATGATCGAGATTCAGTGAAGAAGAGGAAGTTTAGATCAGTGAAGTTACAGATCTGTCTCTTACATCCATTATACTTACAATAATTACATTATTTGGTTCAATTGCAAGGTCGTCAGTGGAAATCGAGGAGATAAGACGACTCACTAACGATTCAGAAATGAATTAATCAGAGAAAAAAGAGAAGAAAATACATAAGATAATTGAAGGAACTATGATTTATTGTTTCAAACCCTTTTGTTGAGTTCAGTAAAATAGAACCACTTGTTATGGTTTGACAAAAACAGGTTTGGTATGTTTTTAAATATGTTACACAACATTTCTATTTAATACTGTCATCGTCTACATTAGAGATTCTCATTATTCAGTGTGACGTCCCCTAATGAGTTCTATGTTATGTCTCATATTACTGGATTAGTGCAAAATGTGCTTATTTTAGTTTCTTTATATATATATCAGGTAGTTTAAACTATAGCTTTGTATTGTGTTAGCATTTCATAATTTCATCAGGATCATATATAAATACATGTAATTTAAATAAATCCACATCTCATTGCAGTATTTTAAACTACATCCAGATCTTTTTGTTGCCTCAAACTTGACTTGTCTCGTCAGAGTTCCACGGCCATGATGCTAAATCAGGTTCAACCTATAATCCTTTAAAAACATATGAAGGTCATCAAAGAAGTGGAGCTGCCTCCAGATCCTTGGCGTGGTGTGTTAAATACTTGGGTGTGTCCCTCTCTGGTCTGAAACCTGAACTGCTCGAGGCCACAACCAAACTGGCTCCTCTTCAAATAACCAACAAGCTCCCAACAGTCTGAGTGCATAGACTGGTCGTCCATAGAACTGCATTCATAATTAATGCTGATCTTATGGATCTGCCCGACCTCACAGCTTCATTACTGTGTGTGCTAATCAAACCCAGCAACAGGAGCTACAGGAAAGTCTGGATCAAAAGTCTCTGGTGTATAATCAAGATTATCATCTATATAGCAAGTGTGGATTAGTGCTTTGTTTCTATTGTGTGAGTCAATATATAGATTTTTCCCATGTCATAATCATTACTGCAATAAAACAGACCATTCGGACATGTTAACTTCACATTCTAACTTTTCATTAAATGGTTTCTCAGATGTTAACTTTTCTGATGTTTGAGTCTATAAATACCAAACTCTGTATTTCCTTGGTCGGCTGCATCGTTGTTGGTGGCCGGTGAAACCCAATCAGTCATCAAAGCTTTATACATCTCTCTTTATCTCCACGACACTGGACGTCCTCGCTCAGGTTTCCAAGTGACCAGTCACAAAAACCCTGTGGAGCGTTCCTCAAATCTGATTGGTGTTTGACTGATATGTGGCAGCAGCCAATGAGGACGGAGTGGAGGATGGTGAGGAAGTGCCCAGGTAACAGTGGAAGATAAGTGGGTGGTGTTGAGATGGTGCAAAGGTGTGTTCCCCTGAATAAACCGCATGAATGTGTGTGTTTGGTTCATTGACAAGAAAATATTATATATCTTTATTTCTAAGGTATTTCTGCATTGTCATTTTACATCGGTTAAGGTTTCAGGAAGAGTTGGGATCCATCTTTGGAACCTGTCAACTCAACATGACCTCTGTAGAGCTTTAATACATCAATATACCCTTCCTATCTAAACATAAACATGGCAGTACTGTGTGTGTGCATATGTTTGTGTGTGTGTGTGTGTTTGCATGAGAGTTACAGGAGCCAGTGTTCCAACGCTGGCTGACAATGGACCTCTGGCTCTGGAAAGGAGACGCTCTAAAATATGAATGAGGAAATCCACACCTGTTTCTGAACAGTGACACTGGATGTGTGTGTGTGTGTGTGTGTGTGT